GTGAGGCAACACACACATTGTAAGAATAGGGCAATGTTCCTTCACTGTGATTGGGGAGAACCCCAGGCCCAGACTTGAAGCTCAAACCTGGTTCAAAGCAACCCCAGGCAGCAGAACTGAAGTAGTGTCTCAGGCGCAGAGCAATAGCTAGAATCACCGCCAGAAGGAACAGCACAGAAATCAAGGCCAAGGCCAACACCAGGTAAAACTGCAGCTCAGACTGGGGGTCAGTGGGCAGAGGGTCATCGCTGAGGTCTGGCAAGACCTCTTGCAGGCTATCCGCGAAGATCAGGTGCAGCGTGGCAGTGGCGGAAAGGGGTGGCTGTCCACCATCACGCACAGCAACCAGTAGGCGCTGGCGAGTCGAATCCCTGTCGCCCAAGGCACGCGCTGTGCGCACCTCTCCAGTGCGCAGCCCCAGGCTGAAGAGTCCGGGATCGCTGGCCTGCAGCACGTGGTAGGATAGCCAGGCATTGTGTCCCGAGTCCGCGTCCACCGCCACCACCTTGGTGACCAGGTAGCCGGGCTCCGCGGCGCGCGGCACAGTGTCGAAGAGCGCTGAGCCATCGGGAGCGAGCGCGGGGTAGAGCACCCGTGGCGCGTTGTCGTTGCGGTCTCCTACCAACACGCGCAGGCTCACGTTGGCGCTGAGAGCTGGTGAGCCATGGTCTCGCGCTTGCAGCGTCAGCTGGAAGACGCGTAGCTGCTCGTGGTCGAAGGTTCGCTGCGCGAACACCACCCCACTATGTGCGCTCACGGACACATAGGACGACAGTACCTGAGGCTCCAGGTCGCTGGCCATGATGGAGTAGGAGACTTGACCATTGGGGCCCAAGTCCGGATCATAGGCACTGACCTGAGTGATGGAGGCTCCAGGTGGATTGTTCTCAGCCACATGGGCCACGTAGGAGCTCTGTTGGAAAACTGGCGCATTATCATTGACATCTGAGATGTGCAGGGTGATCTTTATCGTGGAGGAGAGAGGTGGCTTGCCCCTGTCGGTGGCTGTGATGGTGATGTTGTATTCTGGGATCTCCTCCCGGTCTAGAACCCGGTCTGTCATTAGCTTGTAGTAGTTCTTCAAGGAAGATTTCAATATAAACTCTGAATGTCCCCGAATTTCACAGTAAACTTCTCCATTGTCTCCTGAGTCTCTGTCTCTCGTTTTTATCAAGGCAATCACTGTTCCTGGTGGTGAATCTTCTGGCAGGGGAGCAAAGACTGAAGTCACAATCACTTCAGGTGCACAATCATTCTCATCGAGAATTTCAACTTGGATACTGCAATGGGATGCTAGATCTCCAGGATCTTTTGCTTCTATACTCAGAGTGTAACTGTTAGCAATTTCAAAATCCAAATTATCCTTTGTTGTGATTTCTCCTGTTCTTTTGTCTAAGTTGAAAAAATGTTCCACTTGTTCATCCACATTATGAAAGGAATAGGTGACCTCTGCATTGACACCCTCATCTTGGTCAGTGGCCATCACTCGAAGCACTGAGAAGCCTGGGGGGACATTCTCCCGCAGGGTGACCCTGTATACATCCTGGCTGAACACTGGAGGGTTATCGTTGGCATCAGTGACTTGAATTTGGATCTGGGTGGTACCACTTTGAGGTGGTTCCCCCCCATCCACAGCTGTGAGAACCAGCTGATGAAAATTGTGCTCTTCCCTGTCCAGAGACTGTTTCAAAATCAACTCAGGATATTTACGTCCATCTGGAGCCTGTTTTTCTGCGAGATCAAAGTATTCATTGTCATTAAGGTGGTATCTTTGCAGTGAATTAGGACCAGTATCTGAGTCCAGAGCTGGGTCTAATGGAAATGTTGTACCTGGTTTGGTGGATTCTCCAATTTTTAAGTCAATTTTACTCTGTTTGAATAATGGAGTGTTGTCATTTATATCCTGCACAATGACTGCTACGTGATAAATATTAAATGGGTTTTCAGCGACAGTATCGAAATCCAGAATACACTGAGGCTGCTTCCCGCAAATTTGCTCTCGGTCTATTCTGTCACGCACAGTTAAGTCCCCACTCAGTGGGTTTAAAGTGAAATATTCCTTTTCTGCGCTAATCCTCAGTTTCCGGGCTGGCAAATCCTGGACACTGAGCCCCAGATCCTTGGCGAGGTTTCCTACCACTGTGTTCTTATCCAGCTCTTCCGGAATCGAGTAGTGGATTTGGTCTGGGAGAGCCCGGCAGAACAAAGACAGCAAGAAAGGCAACAGTACCTGAAGCAACAGCGCCAGCCTGCTCCTCCGGGCGCTTGGCGTCATCGTGCGTCTCCGTCCGCCGCCCTGATTCTTTGAGGTAGGAGGAACAAGCCCTCCCTTGGATGGCTTGGATGGTCACTTTTCCTGCTTTTGTTTTCTGTATCCGAATTTGTACGGACCTCTTCTATGTGTTTGGTTTGAGCAGGAAGTTACCCTCTGAGTCTCCCAAACGCGTCTTCCTATACGATCTTTCTCTTCTTTTGACTTGCAGCGACGCCCAGAGGTTTTCCGGGGGAACTGCACTAATGGCTTGTAAACGTTTGAAGTTTTTTCCCTTTTCTTTTTTAAAATTATGGAGTATTTATTTGTATTTAAATAGACAATTTATTATATTGTTCCAAATTCTGAAGGTACATATTGCATATGTTCTTACTCCAATCCCTGTATTGTGTAACATTTTCTCTCAAGTGAAATAAGTATAATGTGTCATGTGTATCCTTCAGAGACATGTTCCACATAGTGCAAATTTTAATAAATGTTATCCCTCCTTTTACACAAATATGAGCATACAACATACCATAATTTTTACCTTGTTTATATATATAGCTATTTATATTTATATATTTAAATATGTTTAGTATGGGGGACTCATCATATCTTGAGGATCATCTCATACAAGTACACAGAGGCTTCTCATTTATCTTTATAGCTATCTAGTTGCCCACTGTATAAATATACAAGAATTTTAAAATCAGAATTATTATTTTCTAAGAGGAACATAGTGCCTATTCAAACAAAAACATATTTTCCATTGATATTAGGTTATAAATTATCTATGGCTTTCACAGGCATTGAAATATGTATCAGTTTGATTCTGAAACATATTTAAAAAATATTTTTAATTGAAGATTGACACAATAACTTAATTTTGTTTATTTAGGTTTTTTTTTAAGTGGGTGCTGGGGACCAAACCTAGTGCCTCAGGAGTACTAGGCAAGTACTCTACCACTGAGCCACAACCCCAGCCCTGGAACATATTCTTAATGCCAACATCTGAATATATTTGATCCAGTTTTAGATAAATTGATCATTATCAAATTATACGTGAAATATTCACTTATTTCCTCTTTCTTCTCTCCAAGCCAGCTAATTGTCGAATATCTCATTACAACTTATTTTATTGTACCACAGCTTCCCATGAATACAAAACTACATAGAAATTACAACACTCCTTCTCAAATTGGGATAAGCCATAATCCACAGACTTGCTACAACTTCCAGATATCAAAAAGTCCTAAATTGCTCAGGCATAGGCATTCATGAATTGTGAACTAACCCACAGAACTATATGAAAGCAAAAGGAACAAAAGTTTTGTATATCAGTTACACACAAAAAATTTTATCCTATATCAGTCCATTCCAGTGCCACATAGTGATAGAACTATTTGAGAATAGTTTGTAGGAATAAGGATAGATAGGGATGAAGTCAATTTACTAAGCAGCATAAATAATACAATTCAGAATCCAAGTCACACAGCCTTTGTAAGAGGTTTAACTGATGGGGTTGGGGAAAGACTTCAAAAAGTTATGCTTTCCTTAGAAATCAAGGTGGGACTCAACACTGGTGTTATGATAAGTAATTTAGAAGATGTTAAAAATTAACTCCTACAGGGCTGGCAGTGTAGCTTAGTAATTGAGCACTTGCCTAGCATGCCCAAGGCCCTGGGTTCATACCCAGCACCACACACACACACAAAAAAAAAAAAAAAAAAAAAAAAAACAACAAACAAACAAATTTCTCCTGCACTCTACTTAAATATGAGTGAAATAGAATGGGCAATATTTTTGTTAATCATGGAAGTGCACCAAAGGAATCACACAAAGTCATTTCTGCTTCATCTCAGATCAGGTAACAGCAAAATATGAAATATACCATTCCATTGAGACAATATCACTGTTAAAATTATTTCTAAAAGTTAAGAATTTCCCCCATTATTTATAAATTGCCACTGTCTGATTAAAATGAAAAAAGAAAGAAAAGTAAGCTTTAAGCAAAGCATGGTAGAATGCAAAAAGAGGAAATTTTAAAAATATGCAGTCCACATTCAACATTAGCATCATGAGAAAGAATGTTATAAATATAAATTTATAGAATCGACTTCTATTTCACAAGTCTTATCTATCCTTTTAGTAATGCATATGAGAAAGCAGCATTTAAAAGAGTGAGTGGAGATGGGCGTGGTGGTGCACACCTGTAATCCTAGCGCCTTGGGAGGCTGAGGCAGGAGGATCTAGAGTTCAAAGCCAGCCTCAAGCAAGTGTGCAAAGCCCTAAGCTACTTAGTGAGAACCTGCCTCTAAATAAAATACAAAAAAGGGCTGGGGAATGTGACTCAGTGGTTAATTGCCCCTGAGTTCAATTCCCAGTACCAAATAAGTAAATAAACAAACAAATAGATAAGTGGTTTATAGGTATAAAATTAAATCATTCCTACTGAATGAAGACTAAAGAGAATACATAATAAATGATCACAGCTGGGGAGGTAGCTTGGTAATGTAGTGCTTGCCTAGCATACCCAAGGACCTGGATTCAATCCTCACCATTTCCAAAAAGAAAAGAAAGAAAAAAATGAATGAATAGTTCCTTTGTTTAGTAAATGTTATTTACATTATTATTTGTTATTTTAAAAATAACAAAATATTAATAAAGAGGTGCCTTTATTTAGTATATTACATATCTTAACATAATTGGAGACATTTACAAAACTCTGTGCCTATGTTTCAGTGTGTTAGGATGGATTATAGGATTGACTCACCTGAAGAAGATTGGGGTCTCCTTTAGTTTCACCTAAATCCTGTGGAACTAGAAGAGGCTCATTTTTCTCACAACTCTCCTGGCTGATGAGCGTGTCTGCATAGTTGGGCTGAGGGAATATCAGGTGGCTCTTCCTGGAGTCTGCAGTGAGGGAGACCTCATGGGAATAGGTCTGAAGGAATGCCTGCATCCCATCCATGCCTACAAATTGTGGTACAGACACTTCACCAAACCTGCTACTTGCAGCATGAAGTAGGCGATTCATGTGCCAGCGTCGTAGCCTGAGTGCCAACAGCAAAATGACAAAGGCAAGGAAGACACAGGAGACAGCAGCCACTGCCACCACCAAGTAGAGGGTGAGGTCTGAACCATCAGGGTCGGTAGTCCTGATGCTGCCCAGATCTGCCAGGACATCAGGGATGCTGTCAGCCACAGCTATGGTGAGTGTGACAGAGGCTGACAGAGGGGGCTGGCCATGGTCCTGGACAGTCACCACAAGACTCTGCTTCAGCACATCTCTATCCAGCAGGGCCCGTGCTGTGCGCACCTCACCAGTATGCAGCCCCACTGAGAAGAGCCCTGGTTCACTGGCCTTGAGCAAGCGGTAGGACAGCCAGGCATTCTGTCCTGAGTCTCTGTCCACTGCCACCACTTTGGTCACCAGATATCCAGGCTCTGCTGAACGGGGAGCCAGCTCCACACCAGTAGAACCATCAGTGGGGAGGGCAGGATACAGGATTTCAGGAATGTTGTCATTCTGATCCAGCACAAACAGGCTCAGAGATACATTGCTGCTGAGTGGAGGGTTCCCACTGTCCCTGGCTGTCACCAGTAGCTTCAAGTGTTGGAGCTGCTCATAATCAAAGGAGCACAGTGCATACAGGACACCAGTGTTGGAGTTGATGGAGACATAGGAGGACAAAGTTTTCTCCTGGATGGTGTCCTCTGCCAGAGAGTAGGTGACATGGGCATTCTCACCACTGTCAGGGTCCTGGGCTGTCATGGATAAGATGGATGCTCCTCTGGGGTTGTTTTCCAGAATGTAGGCAGAATAGGATGCATGTGTGAAGGTGGGTGGATTATCATTGATGTCCATCACCTGCAGTGAGATATGAGTCTCTGTAGACAGAGGAGGACTTCCCTGGTCAGTGGCAGTTATCGTAATGTTATATTCTGAAACTTCTTCCCTGTCCAGAGTTCTATGTATCAAGAGTTGATAGTAATTTCCATAGGTCTTTTCAAGCCTGAATGGCAGATTATCCAGAATAGAACAAGTGACAAATCCATTCTCTCCTGAGTCACCATCATGCACATTGAAAACTGCAATTACTGTACCTGGAGAAGAGGTTTCTTGGATTGAGCTGGTGAGAGAGGTAACCGTGACTTCTGGAGCATTGTCATTTACGTCCAAAACGGTCACCAGTACCTTACTTCTGGCTCGGAGACCAGGTCCATCATGAGCTTCTACATCTATGTCATAAAATCCAGAGTCCTCATAATCTAGATCCCCCAATATTATTATGTCCCCTGTCAGAGAATTCAACTGAAATAGCTGGGATATTTTGTCTCTTACGTTTCGGAAAGAATAAGTCACTTCCCCGTTGGTTCCTTCATCAGGATCAGTGGCTTTTATGGTGAGTAGGCGGGTACCCACAGGCAAGTTCTCCTGAACACTTATGTGGTACTCCGGTTGAGTGAATACAGGAGCATTATCATTGATGTCCAAAAGTATTACATGAATACTGGCAGTACCAGAGCGGATTGGGTCACCTCCGTCAAAGGCAGTAAGAACGAGGTGGAGAACCGCCTCTTCCTCGCGATCTAGGGCCTGCTCCAGCACCAACTCCGGGTACTTAATTCCATCTGCCCCACTTTGCACATCCAGAGAGAAGTGAACATTCGAGCTGAGCTGATAACCTTGCAAGGAATTTACTCCCACATCCGGATCAAAAGCCTCAGGCAGAGGAAATCGTGCTCCAGGATTTTCATTTTCAGCAACTTTTATTTCCCTCTGCTCTGTTCCAAAGGTGGGCGAGTTATCATTAACATCGATTATTTCCACTTCTATTCCAAAAATCTTTGCTTTGTCCTCTAGGAAAATTTCCAGGTTTGCCATACACTTTGGAGATCTGTCACAGAGCTGCTCCCGGTCTATCCTGCCAGCGGTGACCAAGCTGCCGCTTCTCGGGTTCAGAGCAAAGAGCTGAGTTTTACCTCTGGAGACGACGCGGACTCCGCGCTCCGTGAGCTTCCGAGGCTCCAGCCCCAGGTCCTTGGCAATGTGGCCCACCGCAGAGCCTTTCTCCAGCTCCTCAGGCACCGAGTAGCGGATCTGTTCCGCCGGTATTTGCCACAGGGCCCCCAGGAGAATGCAGATACAAATCAGTCCGCTGGAGTCTGGTGGATAAAGGTTAGCCGCCATTACAGCCCCGCTGCGGAATTGCCCCGGCTTGGGTATTCTCTCTTGGAGGCCTGACAGTCCTACGATCTGTTGGTTCTAAGATAATGCACTTCCACCTTGGATGCTGGAGTTCTGGAGGGTCCAGTCTGAAGCTACCCTACAGCCCCAGAACCAGTTCTTTGTACTGCGGAAATCTTGTTCCAATTAAATTCTGTCTTTCCCCCCCGATTGTTGAACAGCGACACTCAGAGTCCTAACCTGTTATTGCAATTTATTCCAGATAAAAGTATCCACTTTTATACACCTTTTCCATTCCTATTTCTCCCAGGGAGAATAAAAGCCAAATTCCGGTTGTTTAATTTGCAATTAAAATCCAGGAATAACCCAAAGCTTCCTCTACAATAAGATTTATAAAGTTATTTATTTTCTTAGAGAAATAATGTGTTGAGTTTGAGGGCAAAGAATGCTTTTACCTCTTCTTAGTTTTCGCATTCTTCATCCCTGTAGTCCATTTTCAGGACAGTGTATTGTGTGAGGGACATGTTCATTTCTCCCAGGAACAAGGGTGGATTTGAAAAGTGGAGGAAAGCTATAGATGAAAAGACAGTGGCCCCAGAACTTGGAGATCCAGCTGTAGTCCCTAACTATGTGGAACCAAGTTTCCTCACTTGAGTTCAACCTTTCAAATCGGGGCAACTTTTCAATTCCTTTACAAGAAAATTCCTGTTGTTCAAGAGACAGTCTTATTCCTGTGCAAAGGGGCTGGTCAAAAATGATTCTATGATTTTTTAAAAAAATATTTTTTTTAGTTGTCGATGGATCTTTATTTATCCAATTATATTAGAATTGAATCCAGTGCCTCACATGTGCTAGGCAAGTGCTCTACCATTGAGCTACAGCCCCAGCCCCTGATTCTATGTTTTAAAAGAGAATTTGCTTGTTAATTTTGTATACAGGAGCTTCTAGGCCACAAGTATGCTTGTGACTGTCCTGTTCACAGTGTGTCCTCAACCTTCAGAACAGCAACTTGCATAGAGTAAACACCCAACAAATATTTTTCAGTGTTTTGTGAATGAATTACTCATGCAAAGTAAAGCCTCAAATAAGGGGTCAATAACCCTGATGTTAGAAAAAACAAGAGGAGTAAAAAGAAAAGTTAAACTTTACTGTAAAGAAAAGATAATAGTTCAGTGATTTTTTTGTATAAGACATCCAGTAGTCTTATTTTATCATTACCAATGGTATTATTTGACCATCATTTCTGTTTCTTATAGCCTTGATCTTAAAAATAACCAGCAAAGGTAATACTTTAGTAGTTACATATGAACTATTATTGTATATTTTATAGTTTTATTGAGTAACTTGAGATAAAATGTCACCATTCTTTGAGGTTATTCTCACTTCAAAATTAGCACATAAAAATGACTCAAATTGGGAGCATTGGGAATGTACTCCATGGTCAAGCACTTGCCTAGAATGAATAAAGATCTGGGTTTGATTCCCAGCACCAGAAAAATAGAGAATTGTTATATTTTAATGAGACACAAAATTCTATTAACTATACAGAATCTTAAAATCTTCAGACTTTGAGTGAGTAGATTAAAGGTATTTTTCACAGTCCTTAAGTTAATGAGAAGTAGGAGATTAAAATGAGATGTTTTGGAAATAAATTTGATTATATGCATAAAAATCTATAACTACTTATAAATTTGACTCAATTCTTAAAAATTTATATTAAATAAATAATAAGAATAGAGAAAATGCTTTATAAATAAATGTCATTCACATTCCTTCTTATAATAGTAATAAAGTATAAAAGTATAAGCAGCATTAAAACAAAGAATAGTTAAGAAAATGATGAAATATCCTAGAGTGAAAGTGTTAGTGGGAATAATATTGATCCAAAGTTAGTGATTCAAATGTAAAATATGACAGTGTTTACTACTTGTGATAATACAAGTGCTAATTACAAGCTTAATTATTGGAAGGCTGCATTAAACAAATGTTTCAGCAAAAAGGTAAACAACTAGAATGTAGTTGATGAAGATGAAGGTAAACTTTAATTCGGGCAGAAAGATCTGTAGACCTATTAATAAAGGTTAAGCATAAACTTAAGAATAGTTTCAAAGATTAACTAAGAAAGTGCACTGTTATTACTAAGGGTGTTGATATATAGGAAACAGCTCCCTAGCAAGAGTTGCCAACCGCAGAGAAATGCCAACAATAAAGACTGAAAATTAGTACTCAGGTAATTTTACACAATGAAAGAACTCATCTCTATCTTTTCGTCTATGCCTCATATTCTGCAGACAATCTCCTCTTGTGATACCATCACCAGAACCATGAAAATTGGCCAAAATTAATTATGCACAATGGAGAAGCAAATACAGTATATAAAAATGTAGACAGGTTTACGGAAACTTACCTGAGAGGAAAAAGAAGAATCATAGGAGAGTTTAAGGTCTTCATTATTGGCACAACCAGCTATAGAAGGGTTATCACATAGAAGATCCTGAGGAGGAGCCACTTCCGGTGTTATGTTAAGAAAATTAAACTCTGTATTTGCAGAATGCGAGGCAACGCATAGATTGTAGGAATAGGGCATAGTCCCCTCGCTGTAGTTGGAGGGAACCACAGGTCCAGACTTGGAGCTGAGACCAGACTGAAAACAACCCCAGGAAGCAGAACTGAAGGAGTGTCTCAGGCGCAGAGCAATAGCTAGAATCACCGCCAGAAGGAACAGCACAGAAATCAAGGCCAAGGCCAACACCAGGTAAAACTGCAGCTCAGACTGGGGGTCAGTGGGCAGAGGGTCATCGCTGAGGTCTGGCAAGACCTCTTGCAGGCTATCCGCGAAGATCAGGTGCAGCGTGGCAGTGGCGGAAAGGGGTGGCTGTCCACCATCACGCACAGCAACCAGTAGGCGCTGGCGAGTCGAATCCCTGTCGCCCAAGGCACGCGCTGTGCGCACCTCTCCAGTGCGCAGCCCCAGGCTGAAGAGTCCGGGATCGCTGGCCTGCAGCACGTGGTAGGATAGCCAGGCATTGTGTCCCGAGTCCGCGTCCACCGCCACCACCTTGGTGACCAGGTAGCCGGGCTCCGCGGCGCGCGGCACAGTGTCGAAGAGCGCTGAGCCATCGGGAGCGAGCGCGGGGTAGAGCACCCGTGGCGCGTTGTCGTTGCGGTCTCCTACCAACACGCGCAGGCTCACGTTGGCGCTGAGAGCTGGTGAGCCATGGTCTCGCGCTTGCAGCGTCAGCTGGAAGACGCGTAGCTGCTCGTGGTCGAAGGCTCGCTGCGCGAACACCACCCCACTATGTGCGCTCACGGACACATAGGACGACAGTACCTGAGGCTCCAGGTCGCTGGCCATGATGGAGTAGGAGACTTGGCCATTGGTGCCCAAGTCCGGGTCGTAGGCACTGACCTGAGCGATGGAGGCTCCAGGTGGGTTGTTCTCAGCTATATGGACCGTGTAGGAAGCCTGCTGGAAAACCGGCGCATTGTCATTGATGTCCGCGATGTAGAGGGTGACGCTTGCTGTGGAGAAAAGGGATGGCTTGCCCCTGTCGTTGGCTGTGATGGTAACATTGTACTCTGCGGTCTCTTCCCGGTTTAGGGCCCTGTCAATTACCAGCTTGTAATAATTCTTGGAAGTGGATTCTAATTTAAAGGGAACCTCTTCCTGAATATAGCAGGTCACCAGACCATTTTGCCCAGAATCCCGGTCTCGCACCCTAATGAGGGCTATTATGGTTCCAAGGTTTGAGTCCTCTGGAATCTGGTTAGAAAAGGACATAAATGTCACCTCTGGGGCATTGTCATTTTCATCAACAACTTCAATCTGAACATTACAATGAGCTGTGTGCACCCCTCCATCCTTGGCTTCCACACCCAACACGTATCTATTTCTTTCTTCAAAGTCCAATGTACCGTTAGTTGTGATATCGCCCGTATTTGGATTGAGATGGAAAATGAGGCTAGCACTTGTAGGAGCATTGAGGAAGGCATAGGTGATCTCTGCATTAATGCCTTCGTCCTGATCTGTGGCCATCACTCGCAGCACGGAAGTTCCCTGGGGCACATTTTCTTTGAGACTAACTCTGTATATGTCCTGGCTGAACACCGGAGCATTATCGTTGGCGTCAGTGACTTTGATCCGAATCTGGGTGGTGCTGCTTAGAGGCGGTTCCCCACCATCGATGGCGGTTAGGATTAAGCGATGGGAGTTCTGATGTTCCCTGTCTAGAGGTTTTTCCAGCAACAATTCTGGATATTTACTTTCATCCGGACTTTCTTTTGTCGACAAAGAGAAGTATTCATTGGAGCTGATAGTATATATCTTCAGTGAGTTACTTTCTACATCTGCATCTTGTGCAGAATCCAGAGGGAATTTTACCCCTGGTAATGCTGACTCACAAATTTCTAATTCAATCTCTTTTGCAATGAAACATGGTGCATTGTCATTAATATCTTGGATATCAATAATCACGTGGAAAATATTCATTGGGTTCTCAATGACTGATTCGAATTCCAGTGCACACTCAGATTTTCTCCCGCAAATCTTCTCTCTATCTATCCTGCCGCTCACTAACAAGTCCCCACTCTCTGCACTAACACTGAAATAATCCTCTGCACTAACCCGCAGTTTTCGAGCTGGCAACTCCTGGACACTGAGCCCCAGATCCTTGGCGAGGTTCCCCACTCGAGAGCCCTTGGCCAGCTCCTCTGGAATTGAGTATCGAATGGGCTGGGAGATGGCCCCGCAGAACAAAGACAGCAGGAAGGGAAACAGTACCTGACTTCGCATTGTATCAGTTTCTCTGGCATTCCTCTGCATTTCTTGATCTCTCCAGGAAGCTTCTTTTCAAGGTTTCTCTGGGATATATTTTTAAAAGGCAATGACAGCACCCTAGACTTTCGTGATTCGAAGATAAGACCATTTACTGGGCTCTTGAGAGTGCACTGGAGCAGCGACTGCTTTCTGATATGCGCTGAATAAAACGGAAAGCACTGGCTTG